CTGTGTACGGAACCCCATGGAAATCGCCTTGCAGTATGAGCTGAAGCTGTCCGATTTATGCAAGCCGCCAGTCAATTAATTAACCACCTTTTGCAAATGCGTACAGTGAATGAAAACTACCGCCAACCCATGGTCCATTTTGAATTTGGTGCAATGCCTGCTCACACGGGTTACCTCAGCTACCTTAACTTCACATGAGACTTACTGTATCCGAGATGCTTTCAAGGAAATTCCAGGAACAAGTTCAATCTGTTTACTATTATTGTCACTGTCTTTTACTGACCGAATGCGTTGCGAATGTTTAGTTACCTCGGCTTACTTTAGCGACTTTGTCACAGCTGAAATGAATTCTGCTCTGATGGCTCCCCAAAATCCCCATACTACTGGGAAGCTGTCATTCAAACACGCCGTGTCGAAGCAAGTATTATCCCAGAAGATAAATTCACCCAGCTGTTCGAAGCAACCTAGAAACAGACCACATTGTTTCCGAGATGATTAGTACACTAGCGGATGTACAGACTGAGGTGATCATGCAGAAATCAACTTGTTTCCTTTCCGAGCGGCTGACACAATACAAGATGGAGGCGTTTCCCAATCCCTATCCACTCTACATATGGCATGTGATTAAAGTAATAAATTAGTCGCTGTAATCCACCAACATATCAGATCGCAAAAATCCGCTTATCTTCAATGTGCCAGACACAGATCTATTAATATCTGTGATGCGCACCCAACTTAAGTTTTGCACTTTCACAGGGATTCGCTGTAGCTTGATAGGACTCAAATGGGGTGGTTTCAGAAGCATAACTGTCCACTTGAGCTTAAATCCAACAGTCCAAGCGATCAATGCGTAGCAACTAATTTTGTCGTCCGAGGCGGTGGTAATATTTTCACCCTGACTGAGAGCAACATAGGCGCGTGAAGTCCACACAATCGGCTCAGGGCAAAGTGCACGTTTGTTTTCGATGAAATGGTTGACCGTTTGGGACATTTAGGTAATTGTGGTGAAAATGACCACTATGGGACAGATAAGAGGATCACTGAGAAGAACGTTTGTCCAGGTGTGACACATGGTGCAAATGTGTTGTTGGTCATACAGAGTAGCATCAAAATATTGAACCCACAGCTTATCCGAATATTTTACCGTTTATATTTGGTATCGAATATTCGACGGTAATAAAATTGCAGCCCCTATCACATACCATCTTGAAAGGAACCTGAGCCCAGCTCCGTGCTACGCATCTGCATGGGAAGCAACTAAATGTATTCGAATCGGATCAGTCATCTCATCGTCTACAGAATGCAAACTCACGGTCATTAAGTACTATCACCTTTTGTGCGTCCAGGAACTACACCATAGCTCAGTGATTGATAGTCGCTCATCTAAACTTAAACTGACTGTATTGAAAGCCAAACTGTCTACAATTGAGCTGCATCACCAGGTTGACAAACATGTTCATGACGTTGCTGATGAGAAGTGCTTGGTTGAATGTGTGCCAGTAAACAATGCGAAATGTAAGCCAATTGCGATTAATCCCGTAAGGTAATATCTCACGTTCACGCTTACAATACTGAAACAACTTCGGCCAATCACTCGCCTAGTGTAATTTGCGTCCAGTCGAGTGTTCCCAAAGCTTCCGTGTGCTGGCTTACGTTGGGTTTTCAAATACCTTGGGGGCTGAAAAGCAATACAGATACTTCGTAGGCAGCTGAACAGCTTCATCACAACCACCTAGTAGGAGTCGGAGGTGGATGGAGGGTGCGTTTGACTTACACCTGGTGGCGAGCTGGACGGTGTTGTCACAGCTGGCGATGGAGGACGGAGACTGAGGTGTGTGGGTGGATGACGAAAACACGCACGAGATATGGTAGCGGTAAATATCTGGCCATTACCGCGTCGTTTACCCAAGTATAAATGGGATAGATCGACATAGCAACTTCCATGTGCTAATATGTCGGTGAGTTGCCAAGTGGTATGTGAACCTACGCACCGGTTTGCATCATGCGGGACCATTCATCCCTGCGCAGCCTCTGCTACTTGACAAGTAAATGTGATTCGCCGGTGTGTTGTTTCAAATCACCTACTCACCGCAACCCAGTAGTGTGTTTGAATACAGTCACCAACTGACATATCCATCCCGAAATATTTTCACGGTGATCGTGATAAAGGTTAGTTGTGCTTTCCCTACTTGCTCTGGGTGTCCGCATTTACTATCCTTGCACGAGGTCAAGCAGCGTCCAGACGCCGGCGTTGGTGTCTCGGGGTAAACAATCCGGCAAAGGGCCACACAGGCAGCCTATGTCGGTCAAGACTGCATAGTTGAGCTACCTTATTTATTTTGTCCATAACAAAGTCCTAATCCACACAAACAACGACACGCGGTCAACCCTAATTGTTGGCCATACAAACGTGCTAGGGGTGCACCGACTTATCAAGCCCTCGCACGTTTGTTTTGCAACGAGGCAACTAAAACGGGTAGGCGACTCGTTCACGAGCACTACTTTCCCAGCACTGCACGATGTTCGCACGAGTGGATAACTGCCTATTTATAGCAACCTGTATAGTGCCCTGCGACCTGAATCCATACTAAAGTAAGAATAGCACTCATTTACAAACAGGTAGTTTAGTGCCAGCAGAATGTTTAACAGATCAACCAAATGAACAACATGTCCACAAATCTTTCTGACATATTGAAACATTTGTTTGCAATGCTGCAGTATCACTAAGGCCCGTGCTTCGGACACCGCGTGTTCCAAAATGCGAATCCGCTACGGGTTTTTCTAAAAACGATTTTAGGGTAGTCCAGATGCATTTATAAGTAACTAACTAACTATATAGGCATGTTCATAGGAGCACTGTTCAATCAATGGCTGTTTTACACGAGCATTTATTATGCTCCAGATGTCCTCAATATGATTGGGTTCTGGAGAGTCTGGCGCAAGGCGTAGAAGTCTCTCAACGCGGTAAGGTCTCTCCAGGAAAAGGTGCTCCAGATGGCTGTGACAGGGCGCGTTGTCGCAAAGCAAAAGTCAACTTTCCACAAACCCTGTTCCGTTGGTATCAAGCACTTGCCGCAGCCGGCGAGCGCACCTTTGCTTGTTGTAACTTCCTCTCAAAACTGAGCGTGCTATCAAGCCGCTGTTTGTCATGGCACCGAGAAGATGAACACTCGGTGTCTGGCTATTCGCCACCGTACACTATGCTCGTGTGCCAAGTTGTGAGCGCTCACGAGTGCGAGCGCAAAATAAGTCGAAGTTAGTCTCCTCGATCCACACCGGTTGCCTTCCTTCCACCTCGTAATTCATGAGCTGCAAGACGAACGATCTTGGTTGGCTTTTGTTCGCCAATGTGCTCATAGACTCCGGAATAGTGTGCATCTGCTCCATCGTTAGCGGTCTACCATCCAATTACCTTGAGATGGTGCTGCTGCTTACTGAAATTTCGAACTCCACCTTCAACTGCTAATAAAGTTGTTTAAGGGTAACAGTAGGCTCCGCAGAATCCCACTCCATCAGTGAGTCGACGTGACTTTCTTTCAGTGCTCTACGACTGACAACTCCATGCTGCCCCATCGGTTCGTGGATTCGTACCCTGTATCCAGTTGCGGCAAGTTTTCATGTTCACATTCAGTGTGCAAGCAACCTGCTTCCAAACATCCCCTTCATAGTAGGTTTTCGATATTAGTTTCTTCACCGCTCTCGAGTGACGCGTATACGAGCCCCTGGTCACCATTGCGTTTACGTGCACCGCACGTTCACACTCACGTGGCAAACTTACTTGGCTGCGGCTTGTTATCCCACCCCCAATCGTTGCACAAACGTCTACCCTCGTCCTAATTGGTGGGATTCGTTTCGTTGCACAGACGAATACAGGGACATACCGTGTATTGGCCGCCGACGCTGTGGCACCTGGGGCTGAAGCGTGCCACTTGCACACCTATTGGCCCTATTGGCTGAAGGCGCTTGACTGAGCATACAGCTGCACACCTGTGCAAGCGAACTTCCCACGCCTGAATCAAATATTTGTGTAACGAGCGCCATGGTTGCTCCTCAGAGCAATTCATTTGGTGTTCAGCCTAATTCTCTTGCCCAACGGGTGAACTTGGCCGAAAAATGGTGTTGTTGCTGGTGAAGTCCACGCTGGTTCTAGACTTTCGAATCAGCTCCCAACGTAGCAAATTTTCGTGGAATAAATCTGCCGAGTCGTACGAACCAGATCTCCCCCGACCACTTTTCGTGCATTGATACAAACCGCAACTCGTCTGTTCGTCCGACCAAGAGGACGTCACAAACAAACAGTCATAACGACACTTTCACCGGTGACCGTAAACACCATCTGTTACCTTTTCCCATCATCTCCAAAAGGAGATTACCTGTATGTTTTTAATAATACGTTACCTGGGATATCGGTGTAGCAAGTGAGCTTCCAGTAAATTTTGGTTTAGCAAGGCTTTTAGTTTACTCTTTCAGATTCCTAGTTATTAATTAGCCCTCTTTAACCTAGTGGACGATGAGGCCAATACTACTCCAGCAGTCTCGATGCATGTTGAGTCTACGCTGTTCAATCCACCCCGCTTTTTCGTCTCAGAATTTAACTTTACCAGGTCTTTCATGTCCAGTTGAGAACTAGCGAGGCATCATTTCGGTGCTGTACGTCGCTTGTTTCAATGAGATCTTTCGGCAATCGCAATCTTGTATTAGGTCAGATACAACCATGTGATACAGCATCATTAGTAGCTCGCATACCATGATGATTGCTGGAAATTTTCGTGCCCAATTCGATGATATTTGCTTTTCTCTGTACTGTTAAGAATAACGAGAATATTGATGCTTAAGTTTACTTAAATCAGCTGTCTTTCTGATAGCAGCTGGAAGTTGAGTTGCGGTTAATGAAAAAATAATATACAAAACTAAAGAATGCCTTTAGGATAAATGTTCAGCCTTATTATCCAGAATTATGCTTTCAGCTTAATGGCTGTTATTGAGATAACTTTACTCACCCGATTTCCTGTATTACTGAGTTCGATAAAGTGGCCTTTCGGGGAACATTCGTTGAGAGTGAGCTGACCAAAATAAGCATTTCCTCCCCTTGTAGTATTGAACTTTTCGCCTTCAAACGATAGAAACCGTCAACGGTAACACAATGACGTCAATAACTTTTATTCTGTGTCTTTATTCAGTCGAGATAAATGCAAAACTGGTAACAAGAATAATTTTCCTCTAGGTATTCATACAAGACGACAAGAGGGAAGAATACCATGATCGTTTACTTCCCTTTGTTGGTCCCCACCGCATGCCCTCGGAGGTTTTCCTAGATAATGACTGATCTACTTACCTGGTGGAGCAACATAAGAGGAATTTATGTGAGTTTGTTCTGCCGATCGCCACACTAGGTTTTACTGCTGTCAGTGGTTTGGCAGCAGTCAGTCTTCTCTACATCTGCATGGTAACCAAGGCAGAGATCTGCTAATTTTTCAAGTTCAGGTTTATTGAGGACTAGCAACAATGAAAGCAGATGAAAATAAAGTAACGCGAAACTTGAGACGCTTTACCAATTCTACTTTAGTCAGTGTTGGGTTAAAGCAGTACATTTCACAAAGAAGTGCAAAACCATTCCACTTTCAAGCAACCACATGGTAACATCCACATTTTGATTGGCGCCACGGTCGCTGCTAACGGCGCTTGAGTGAGGAATAGCAGCTCATTTTAATCTATACTAGCACCTTAGTAGAACACCCGTTCTGTCGTGGAGGTAACGATGATAATTCAAAAGCTTCGCTGTTGCACATAAATTAGTTATCAAGTACGGCTGTGTATTTCTTCTAGGATCTGTGAAAGATATGTCCACTGATGTATCGGGACGGTGCAGGACCGCTGGTCCAGAAAAGCCCTAGTTAAACCACTTCTCCTGACGCCATCGGAGGTAAATCTTTGAATGGTATAGCCATCATAATTATGGCTCATGCGATTGAATGAGTAAATCTGGCACCAATACAGAAAGTACAATACATGGTTGATAGATCACAAGTGTCAAGCTTTTATGGCTATATATCATAAACTCATTCAGGGTGCATCCTTTTACCACATAGATCATGTGTGCTGTCGGTTGAACAACAATGAGCGTGGTTCCTGCCCACTGCAACACGATCATTTTGATCTCTGTTCAGCTTCCCTCAGTTGTACACTCAACAGTGTGCTGTAAAAAGCTGATGCATTGAAGGAACCGTTAATGCAACCTACTTGCTGCGCATGTTGCCTTATTACAGTCTGCTGACAGCTCGGACCCAGTGTCAGTGAACTGCTGATGATCACTTTTCATCCAAGATGGCTCCATAGAACTCAGTAGTATTTTCGAGTGAGCGCACCTAGTACCCAAGGTTCAGAATAGGTTACCACTCAATGCAGTGATTGTTTCAGAAGACGATCGAAGCAGTCGCACGAGAACGACACTTATTGTTTTTCTTGCCTTGGGTGCCAGTGATACGTGAATTTGCAGTTTCATTGCGAATTGACGAAAACTACTCTGTGTAGTGTAGATTCAGTCTCTCTTACAAAACTGCGTGCGGGATGCACGCGCAAAGAAGTGCTCGTTTTACTCTCCGGATGGTTGACGAAGCAGATTTTTTGATATAATGAAAAAATAAACTCCTTTACCGATAATGAAAAAACTTAAGGTCAAAAATGTGTTTAAACAAATAGTGCGTGTCGGTAAACTCACCTTAAGGTTCACGTTTGCCTTCACATTGAATACGTTATGACGTGCCCCAGCAAACTTAAGCCAGACTATACAACGTAGATAGTTCAGTGCATCATGAAGTGGTTTCAAGAAAACCGATTATGTAGCATGGGAAAGAAAATCCGGAAACGCATTCCACGAGGCAGAAAACACGCTGGTGGCATTCCATTCGTTTATAATGTGTGGCCACTATGTAACGGTTTCCACTGAAAGCGCTTTGCGGCTGTTTCAATAAACCGAAATAATCACCTAGTGTTCCAAGGCTGTCGGAAGTCTAGTAAATGCACTCACATGGGTTATATGTCCTCTTAAATTCCATATTTCATGCGTTGGACTACCGATTGATCATTTGCTGCGTTTTCGTGAAATACAACATGATTTCGTTTAAATTTTGTGGGAAAATTGCCGAAATGAGATAGAGTCGCAGAAAGTAGAACAGAATCGCAAACCGCATTGTAGGGTGAATCATTCTGTTGGCGGCAACTCCGGGTGTTTGGCTCAACAAGCTAGTCCGAAGCGCCTCCAAGTTTCAGATATGCTTTCCCGTTTGTCCCGTGCAAACTCCCCGGCACATGTTTCCGCCGTTGCGAGCAGCCCAGTTGCACATAACACGAATATTTATTCTGTGTTTTACCCTACAGACACAGATGTCCCGGTGTGTGAAGGCCTGGATACTGAAGACACGTGGAAGGTACAAAGAAAGAAAAGGCAGAAAGATGAGAGTTCGGCCGCTGCAACTCAACGGCAGGCCAGACCAAGTGAAGCTAGAAAAATTTCTCGCCTTGCAACGTCAACATTGGCCGACCAAAGGCGTTTTAACCTTGTGGTCTTCCAAGCGCCTGACTCCAGTGATAGAACACCCCAGATAAGCTACGATCACGACGTTGAGTTTTTACAGAGCCTAATTGATAGACTCCTCGATGTGGGTGAGGACGGGTTGAAAGTGATATAAATTAGCCATCTTGGAAAGAAAGGTGATCAACCAAGTCGACCGAAGAGAAGCACCTTTGTGGACTAAGTCAGTCCAAAGCTAAGTATGTCACGATTAAATAGATTGAAAGATCTGAAGCTCCCACGTTCGGCTAGACTTAAATCCGGTGGATTGAGCACGACTAAATTCTGCCATCATTGAGCTGACGAGACGAAACGGTGATGGGGAAACACATCGCCGTAATGTAAATCTTCGGGTAGTTTCCACGATTCCACGAGGCAGGATAAACAGGTTGCTCACACTTCAAGCCCGCCCGGTGCTTCCTGCTTCGGCCATCGTGTAGCTTTAACAAACATGTGTAGTCCTACGAACAAGCGCATTGAACTCTGTCGTTCCGTTGCATCTGAGCGGCCAGACATAATAGGACTCGCAGTGACGTGGCTGAATTCTGTGTTGATAGGCCAGGAAACCGAACTCAGTGGCCACTCATGCTGCCGCTTTGATAGACTATCGACTCCCAGCGGTGACGTCTTGCTCTACATCTGGTCTTCCCTGTGTGAGAGAGTTGTGCTCGTCTACAATAGCGGGGTCTGTGGGAGCAGCTTTAGCCACCTCGGCGCGGGGAGCTGCTCGTGGGTACATTTTATCGTAGTCCCCTCAGCCGCTGTTTGGATTGGCTGCCTTATCTCCGAAGCTACATGAGTCGTCCCCACTCTCTATTCATGGGTGACTTCAATTGTCCTCGAATACGCTGGCCCGAAGTTGAACGCATGCCCGGATATTGCGAGGTCAAAACAAAGTTCGTGGACTTTGCATTTGAAAGTGGAGCAGTACAACACATATACGATCCGACTCGATTTTCGCCGCGCTCAACTCCGTCTTGCCTAGACTTGATGTTAACAAGCTGTGAACAACATGTGTCTGACTTTCAGGTCCTAGATTCCCTAGCAGCAAGCGATCACTCAATGATCATAGCCAGTATGGATCTATCTTTAACTTAGTCCCGTCCGCTTGAACCAGCTTACAACTACTGGAAAAGTAACTTGACGCTCGAACTCAAGCCGCCAACCAAGTAGATTGGTCTCTGCCGTAGGCTGCATCTGGGAAAGACTGTCGGACTGTTACTAGTGAAAGAGCGACATTACATTGCTCTCAGGTTGTACCACTGAAGTGTCGGGGATTTGGACCACTCAAGCCGCATTGGTTCGATAAGCGGTATGGTAAAATGACTAGATGGCGGCGTAAATTGTGGGACAAATTCCTCCTCTTCTAATGATTACGAGGCGGATACGAGACAGTAAAAGGTTTGTAATAGTGTAAAACCGAGCAAGTGCCGGAATTTCGACTAGCAGCTAGTAACCACTGCAAAGACCGCCCCGAAAAGAATCTTTACTTACGTAAAGCGGCAGCAGGTGATCTGGCAGTGCTAGTGGAGCTGGACGGACAGTCCCTAACCTCCAGCACTGAGGATGCGTCCGCTTTGGCGAAGCTCTTCGCTTCCGTGTTTGCAGATAACCAGGTGTCTGTACCGATCACAACGTGCATCGCGCTTACAGAACTCGGCAGTGATTTGCCGTGTTGAAGAGGTTCATCAACTACTCGCCAACCTTCTGGCCCTGACGGACTCCACCCACTGATACTCAAGTCCTTATCGGTCACCATCTCACCTGCTGTGACTGACTTGTTCAACAGGTCACTATCCGAAGGTTCATTGCCGAGCGACTGGAAATGCTCAGTGGTTTAGTCGATTCAGAAAGATAGAGACCTCAGCAAAGTGGACAAGCACAGGCCGATTTGTCTGACACCTATTTTGGCCGAAATTGCCGAGAAGATCGTGAAGTATGGTACACTATAGCTGTTCAAATAAAAGATCGACTGATGCATGCACAGCACGATTTTATGTTAGACAGCTCATGCATTAACAACCTGCTAGGGACGAGGCATGTGTGGTTGCCGGCAGTGAATCAGGGGAAGTTCGTCGAAGTAACCTACGTCGATTTCAGTAAATGGTACAACAAAGTAAGCCATGGGGTCCAGCTCATGAAGTTATGTGGTGTTCGTGGATCACTGCATCAGTGGATCCAGGACTTCTTTGTTGAGCGAAATAGGAGGGTACAGCTCAACGGTCATCTAGCTGACTGGTATCCCTCCACTTGTGGAGTACCCCAAGGCACGGTGCTTGGCCCGCTTTGCTCCTCATCCACGTCAAGGATCCATCTCAGCCACTCCGGTCGTCATGTACTCTGGTTGCGGACGACCTGAAGATTTGGAGAGTGCCTAAAACCCTCGGACCACTGCGGCCAACTTCAGCAACACCTCAACCGCCACTCTATGTGGTCTGCGGAAGTCCATCTCCCGCTCAACCCAAGCATCTGTGCTCATGAGCCTGGGAAAGGGTGGTGACGGTCAAAGTTACACCACTGACTGCCAACTGTCACATCTA